ATCAATTTAGGTAACAATTACATGACATGAAACTATAAATTCATTTAAATGTAAAATCGTATGGCCCATTTAATTGAACATATGAAGTTTAGCCTCCTAAATCATAAAATGTCACCCTTGCGTTTGGAGTAGGCGGGAGAGGAATAGAAGTGAATAAGTGACCAAAGATGGCGAAAATTGGTGCCGATGGTGAGTAGGGCTGGGCAAATCTCCCGAACCGAACCCGACGGTTCTTGTCAAATTAAATACCCAACGGGTATCTGAATTGAGAATCGACGAGTACGGTTCGATTCTCGGTTCGAGACCAAAAACCGAATAAGAACCTAATCTTTCTAATTTTTATTTTTTTTTATATTGAGTAAATCAAATTATTTTAATTTTAATTTTTTCTAAACAAATTAACAAATTAATGATTTCTAAATCCAAAATTTTGGTCCAATAATTTGTTTCATTTCTAATTTTTTAATTTTTGTCCCAATTATCCATTTTATTGTTTCATTTCTTAGCCAAACAAAATCAAATCCACTAAATAACCCTAAACACCTATAATAAAGTGCATAACGTTGTCTCGACTATGGCACTCACTCTTGCAGTTTCGCTAATATTCCAAAACATATACAATCGTCAGCTGACACTCTGACCTCCGATCGAAGTTTTGACTTCCGCTGACCGAAGCTTTGATCGTAGCGATCATTTGAACAAGGTAGTTTACTAGTCTATGACATTCCAAAACCATTGAATGTATCATTAGTCGTATTTATATAACGTTGTTATAAATATTAAAAAATTTAATCATAGTACAGAACCGAACCGAACCGAATGAAACCGAATCCGAACGGTTCCATAATTATATTTGGACCCGACGGTTCCATTTACTAGATAACCGAAAAGTTTGGTTCGGTTCGATTCGGTTCGATTCTAAAGAGAACCGAATCGAATCGACCCGCGCCCACCCCTAATGGTGAGAGTCGCAGATGAGAGAGAGGGGATGAAATGTCTAGGTTTGGATTTGGGGCATTGGGCTGGTATAATGGGTTATAATTTTTTTTCTTGGGTTACCATTTTTTCATCTTCGGTTGAGGTAAACTAGAATATGGATTATAAACAAATGAAAAATCCAACGCAATAAAAAATTAAGTGAAAATTACGTAGATGCCTACTTTTAAAGATTGCATTTCAAAAATCAGCCGCATAGTTTATATATACAAAAATCAGATGATAGTACAAATTTTAGTATTAAATAATAATATTGTAAAATTCAATTAATCCACATAATTATCCTCTCTCTTTCTCTCTCTCTCTCTCTCCCTCTCTCTCTCTCTCTCTCTCTCTCTCTCTCTCTCTCTCTCTCTCTCTCTCTATATATATATATATATATATATATATATACATGCATCTCTATTTTCACTTTCTTAACCTCTCTCCCGGAGCTATTCACAAGCTCTCTCCCCTCCTTCCGACGTAGCTCCAGTGTGGCACCACTGTAGAATACTTCACCTACAAGCGTGAAACTGCGAAAGAATACTTGAAGAAGTTTTGGGTGGGTGAATATGATTTCACAATGAGTTCGATTTCTTGTGATTTCATTGCTGCAGCACAGCATGAATGAAGTTTTGGGCACGATCAGTGTCGGATCTGAGGAAAATTGGGATGTAGTTTTGAGTAGAGATCTGGTGTCATATCTGGGAAAAATTGCAATCTGGTGCATGGTGTGAACAGAGTTTTTGGGGTGGTTTTTGTTGGTTATGGTGGTTTCCATGGTGTGGTGATGTTATGGTGGTTTTATTTGTGACGACGATGGGGTATTAGGCGCTGCTAATAGTGAATCTAGAGTTTGTGGCAGTGAATTTGG